GAGACTTGGATGAAGGGTGTGTGCCAGAAAAAAATGGAAGACTTGGAGGATTGGGGGGGGGGACCCCAGCTACTGTCCCTCCCTCCCCCGACGGGGCCTCAAGGGGGAAGAGGCTGTCACAGAAGTGTGGTGGATATGGCATGGGGTGGGGGTCGCCCTCCGCCATCCTTATTGGGGGTGCAGTTCTGAATTATACCTAATGATGCACATGGGAGGGAGAGTGAGGGGAAGAATAACTGAAAAGGCAAGAGCAGTCGTGTGGGACCCCCGCACCCCGAAAAGGCAGGGGGCCTTCGGGGGAGAAGAGAAATGAGAAAGATGGGGTGTCCCGGGGAGCAGAGAACCGGGAAGGGGGAAAGACTAGGTCCTGCCCGCCCCCCAGCTTTGTGAGGTGGGGCAAAAAAGACCCTCACAGCACCCAGAAGCTGGAGGGTCAGGAAGAACAAGGGGCCTGGCCTGGACGCCAGGGGAAGACCCCGCCCGGGGCAGAGGGGTCGGTGGGCATTAGGGGGAAAGTGGGGGGCAGGCAGAACAACAACGCCTTGCTAGCCCAGCACACCTGCAGTGAAGAAGGAGCAGGAACCTCAAGCTGGAGCTAATTGTCCTGGGACTCTAGGGGGCAAGGTGGGCCGGCCCCCAAAGGGTTTCCAAGGCTGGACTTCTTTACAGAAGCAAACAGGTCACATCCTGCCCGCTGTCTTCCCAGGACTAGCCCAGCGCTTAACCTGCTGTGCTACCTGGGGTCTTTTCTGGGGGAGGAAGGGGCGGGTCTTCCATCAAATCAATTTCCGCTCTAGGGCACTGTCCCTGTGGGTTTCGGAGGCTGTAAGCCCTTATGGGAGCAAAGAGCCGTCTCTTTCTCTCGCGGAGCTGCTAGTGGATTTGAACCTCTGACAGTGTGGTTAGCAGCCCAATGCCTAACCCATGGCGCCGCCAGGGCTGGGGCTTGGGAGGGAATAAAGAGTCAAAACTCAAAACTCACTGCTTTCTAATATCTAACTCGACTCCGACTCACAGCGACCCCGTGGGACAGGGCAGAACCGCCCCTGTGGGTTTTTCTAAGATTGTACTGAGTCCCAGCCTCTTTCCAGGATTATCAAGCCTCGTCTTTCTCCTGCGGAGCGGCTGGCGGTTTCGAACCACTGCACTGGCTGATAGCAGCCCAACACGTGACCGCGATACAACCAGAAAAGGGGGAGGAGCTGGAGGAGGGGCGGGGCCTGAAGCTTGCGCCCCACCCTGTGTGGGGAGGAGCCCGAGGGGCGGGG